GGGGGCCACGAGTAAGATGGGTCTTTAGCAACGGCTGAAACGCGGAGTTATACATTCCCTGTTTGAGTGGGGCGACCGGCGATCTGTTCTCCTGTGACCGAGTGTGAGTGACGAGGTCAGTGGTGTAACTATACTGTCCTGCAGCGAACTCACCTCTTTCCTAACATCCTAAGAGCGTTAGCAGCGTTAAATCACGTCTGATCCTCACAGCTACAGCACTGTTACAGCTCTCGGACAGTCATATTTAAGTATGAGTGCATTCCCAAGAAAGAAAATTAAAGAAAGAAGTGGTTCATGTAAATTACAGCCCTGATTTAAACGAAAGTAAACTGAGGAAGCTGTGAGGCATTGGAGAGCGGGAGAGCGCTATCTTTCCAGGCTAGCTGTTTTTTTAGCAGCTGGCTAACTTGAAGCTGCGCTCCGTCACTCACACAGCATGGCAAATTGATGATACTGTAGATCAAACACGACACAAAAGCACCGCTTTCAGTTTAAACGTTCCTAAAAGGAGGAGTCTGTTTGTCTGGTGTTGATATTTTGCGGTGCCCTTAAACTACTACGATAGTATAGAGAAATCCAGTCGTCGCTTCTGGTGTCTGAATACTGTGATGTTTTCTTTCTTAAATTATAATTATTACAAAAATAGCCATGCTTTTCCAGCTTGTAAAAACAGCTCACCAGACACTCTCTCCCACTTTCCCATGACAGATCTGTGAAATGTTCCACTGTTTGGTGAGTGTTTGTCGTGTTCTGACCATAAAGGATAGTTTAAAACAGCAATTAACCCCCCAGGACCAAAAATCAGCCTTCAAACTTGAAAGAAAAAATGATTTGACATTTATCGCGATATGTATCAATATCGAACGGCATGAATTTTGTTTATCGTGATAACATTTTTGGCCAAATCGCCCAGCTCTATAATATAGTATCAAATATTGGTTTGAAATGTTGGTAGAATCTGAACATCTGCCTGATCTCAATATTTAAAAAAAAAACAAATATCTACTGATACTGATATAATTCCAATACTATTGTGCATCCTTAAGGTACAGTTTTTCCCCTTAAATATAGTCAATTAGTCAAGACAGGTTTGGTAACTGAAGTTCGCTTCTTTAGTTTTGCACTGGCGCTGCAAAGCTGATATATCTTATGCCACACAGATTAGCATTGTGCAAACAGAATGTCCGAATAATCACATACATGCCTCAAACTGCATTGGGTTGTTAAAGGCACAGTCTGGCCAGACTAGGAAACCCTCTTCTGATGATGTACTTTGAAGGTCTAGGTTCCTAGAAGCTGCTGAATTGTGTTTTCTGAATATGATTTCTACTCTCAAACAGTGCACTGTAACCAGCTGGCCACTACTTTACCGTACACCTCTATGTTTTTGCACTCTTTATCCATTTCATCAGCTCCACTTCCTGTATAGGTGCACTTTGTAGTTCTAGAGTTACAGACTGCAGTTCATCTGGTCCTCTACATAATTGGTAAGCCCCCTTTCACCCTGTTCTTCAGTGGTCCGGACCCCCACAGCACTGTCACAGAGCAGATACTATTTGGGTGGTGGATCATTCAACTCCAGCAGGACTGCTCTGTCTGATGCACTCATACCAGCGCAGCACAGACTATCACTCCACCATTGCATCAGTGTCACTGCGGTTCTTAGAATGATTCACCACCCAAATAATAGCTGCTCTGTGGTGGTCCTTTGAGGGGTCTGACTCTTGGAGAACAGGGGGAAAGGGAGCTAACAGACTATGCAGAGAAACAGATGGACTACAGTCTGTAATTGTAGAACTTGCAGAGTGCTTCTATATTGTAAGTGGACCTGATAAAGTGGACAGTGCATGTATCAAGATTATCAGATCTTCTGCATTGCCCTCAAAAACGCTATCTTCATCCAAGTAGCTATTGTTACTGTTAGGAGGCATTAGCCTCATAGCTCCAGTGCAGAAATAAAGAAGCAAACTTAAGAACATGTCTCGGCTGATGAGCTACATTTGGGGTAAAGGGAGGACTGTGCATGTTAGATTTTTAGCCAAAGTATGTAGTTAAATATAGAGTAGTAGAGTATGGAATTGTGGCATGCTGGTTGATGCTGGGAAATGAAGGTGGATTTTGGGGCATGCCATACTTTCTGACTGAAAGAGGCCATACTGTTGACCCAATAACTGTTTTTACTGCATACGTCAATAACCCCCTATGCAGCAGGGTCCCAGCGAGAGGATGCTCTGCCTATTGACTAAAGCCCTCGGGAAGAGCCCATTGACTGCAGACAGGGAGGGGGTCTCCTCCCGAGTCAGCTCTTCCAGACTGTCGCCCCGCAGCAGCGGCCCACCGGGGCTTCGGCTTGGCACCATAACGCAAGCTACTGTGTCTGTACTGATAAAGTCCCCCCACCCCTCCCTTTCAACAGCAGTACAGTCCTCAACATATTGTATTTTAGTTTAAAATTTGCTGCAAAGTGTTGAGTTAAGGGTGTTGTTGTATCCCCAGGAATTTATCACAATATAAAGCATACTCCTTTTTTGGAATAATACTTTTTGGACAAGAATGCTGTAAAATATACCTTACTTTCTCATGCTTTACAACACTATCAAAGCAAGAATCATTGAGCTCAGCCTCTGTTAGAGTAACTGTAAAGATACTATTTTGTAGATACATGTTTTTCTTTGCACATTGACGATATGCAGATATGCAATTAGCCCCCTAATCAAGCGCATTTTTTACGCTCCTGTTCCAGAGTGTTTCTGTGGATGTTTTGATGAGTCAAGGTATTTATAAAATCCAGCAAAATATCTTGGGTCAAAATAATGCAGGCCAATCTTGTTTTAATGATAAAATTCCAGTTTTTCCATGATATTTAATCAAAGTTTAACAACTTTTGTCCACCTCTAAAACATGGTCATTTTTGATGACTACATAGTGTGTTAGCAGACAGAGAAAGATAATATGAACTAGTGATATCTTGTCTCACCTCCACTTATTATTGAGTGAAAAAACTCCGCTAGCTCAGAGACCCTCAGCATTTCACTTAGAAACGCATTCCAGAATACGTTCTGATTTACACTGACTGTAGCAATGTCACTTTACTGATTCACCATTGCAAGGGGTATCGCAATCACAATATGTATGTATGTTTAATAGCAATACTAGTATTTTGTCCATTTCTTGAAGCCTGAATATAGAGAAGAGATTGAGTATGTGGGTTGTGAGAAAAAATTGGTGTGGTGTAATATGGCAGTATTTTGAGTTTAAAAGTAGTATTAATACGCGTAGGTCTGAGAATCAGTATTTTAAATGCAAAGAAAAAGTCTGTTTTAAATGTTGTTTGTCTACTTTACAAATAAAAATATGTAACTTTCAGCATTATAACTTTGAGATTAAAGTATGAACATTCTTTCACAAAAGGCAAGGACAAAGCAACAAGGGTTAAAAAAATTGGTGTAAGGCTGTGGGCGTAGTTTTGAGATGAATGCACTGGATACATGTTTAATTATTCAGAAATAGCTGAGGGAAATCGGTAGGTTTTGTGGTGTATGAGTAACAGAAGCTGTTACGTTTTTTTTCCAAAATGTTAAACTTCGTTGCTGTAAATTTTACAGAAAAATGCCGTATTTACACTTTATGTTCAAATGTTTCAGACACATGCTCATCCAGTGTTTCTTCTGAAGTCAGGGGTGTTCAAGAGACTTCACTTTCTTGCAATAACAGCTTCTACTCTTCTGAGAAGGCTTTAAACTAGATGTTGGAACGTTGCTGTGAGGATTTGATTGCATTCAGCGACAAGAGCATTGATGAGGTTAGGTACTGATGTTGGTTAATTACTACTGGATTACAGAAGCTGCTCCAGCTCATCCCGAAGGTATTGGATGGTGATCCATCGCTCCAGTGAACTCAGTTCTGCTGCTCCATGGCCCAACGCTTTATACGTTTAACACGTTGCATTGGGCATGGTGACCTCACGTTCATGCGTGGCTGCTCTAGAGTGTCCCATTCTATTGGCAATGCTTTTTTATAAAGATTATACAACTTGTGTGTGAGCTACTTAACTCCTGTGTCAGCAGTAGGAGTGGCTGAATTCACTAATTAGAAGAGGTGTCTGGATACTTTTGGACATATAGTGTATATACAAGACAGCAACGGCAACGGTACAGGGGCAAACCGTTCTCAGTGACTTTATGCCCTTTTAGTGCAGCCTGACAGCTTCCGCTCAGTGGGTGGTTTCGTTTACTCCTTTGGGTTTAAGGTCTCTTGGAGACCTTTTTCTAAAATAGGCCCCCTTCTGAGTGTTGGTTATATATTGTTTTCGAGCACATAGAGGAGTTGTTCAAACTCAGTGCAGGGATTGTTAATATGTAGCTCAAATTTGCCAGCCTTGCATGACTAAAGAGGAGTTAGGCCTAAGATCCGATGTGTGTGTGTGTGTGTGTGTGTGTGTGTGTGTGTGTGTGTGTGTGTGTGTTAATGCCTAAAGGAAGTCATACTTGCTGTCCACCTGTTAATGCTGCTTGCCCGTAGGCTCAATAGGCCCTCTGTGCTACCCCACCATATGGTCCTATGTATTTTTTCTACTCATGCATTCTTCAGGCAATCTGCACTTAATGTTTGAACAGCTGGCCTTGACGGATGCTATTTTAAAGCAGGTTTTGTGCGTCTGCTACGATGATGTCACTTGAATTAAAAATGTTTAGTACATACTTGGTGAACAGCATGTTCTTCTTAGTGGCTGTTGTAGCCTTTTCACAGGTCCCATTATAGAATGGGCAGGATTTTCCGAGACTAGTCCTTCACATCGTTTGACTGTGTGCATTTCCCTGTATGCTTAGCACCGTGTTTAATCGCATTAGAACGTGTATTAGACACTAATCCTGTAATCCAAATCTACAGTGTTTGTTTTGTTTCACAAAGCATTTCACTGATGATCTCATGTGCCGTTGAATGATGAACCACACTGACCTACCCACAATGCTCCTGTCCTCTTTCTGTTCTTTGTGCAGGACCTGAATAACATTTACTGTCACCTCTACCACATGGATGTCCTGTCTCACCTCAGGGAGCATCAACTCAGGTGAGATGATTTAAAATTCTCAGTACTGTCTTTTCACATAAGATGTTGTTGTGAGACTCATGACAGCCAGAACTTGCCAACAATAACAGGATCATTGTATTAATTTGTGTGAATGAATTGATTCACTGGGCTTGAATTGACTGGGCAATAGTACAGTGCAAAATACAGTCTGTTAATAACTATATATTGTTGAAGTATCTTTACTTTGGACTGAAGAGGTTTATTTATTCAATTTATTGAATGCTGTAGCTACATAGAGGAAGTACTCTGGTCTTTCTGTACATTTTTCTGGTTTTGGACCAGAATTATTTGACAGTTCTATGATGTACAATCACATGAAATACAATATACACTGATCAGGCATAAAATTATGACCACCTCCTTGTTTCTACACTCATTGTCCATTTTATCAGCTCCACTTACTATATAGGTGCACTTTGTAGTTCTACAGTTACAGACTGTAGTCTATCTGTTTCTCTGCATACTTTGTTAGCCCCCTTTTACCCTGTTCTTCAGTGGTCAGGACAGAGCAGGTACTATTTGGGTGGTGGATCATTCTCAGCACTGCTGTAACACTGATGGTGGTGGTGTACTAGTGTGTGTTGCGCTGTGCTGCTGGAGCTTTAAACACCTCAGTGTCACTGCTGATCCACTCGTACCAGCACAAGACACACTAACACACCACCACCACATCAGTGTTACTGCAGTGCTGAGAATGATCCACCACCCAAATAGTACTTTCTCTGTGAGGGTCCTATAGTAAGTGGAGCTGATAAAATGAACAGTGAGCGTAGAAACATGATCATAATGTTATGCCTGATCGGTGTATGTCGAAAAAGTATCCAGATAGCTCTTCTACTGCGTTCTCTGGAGTGATGGAGCACCATCCAATACCTTTGGGGAGAGCTGGAGTAGCTTCTGTAATCCAGAAACAATCATCCAACATCAGTACCTGACCTCACTAATGCTCTTGTGGCTGAATGCAATCAAATCCTCACAGCAACATTCCAACATCTAGTTTAAAGCCTTCCCAGAAGAGCGAGAGAACGAGGTCCCTTGAATACCCTTGATTTCAGTAGAAACCCTGGATGAGCATGTGTCTAAAAACTTTTGGACTTATAGTGTAGCATCATGTAGGGATGCACAATATGGGAATTGGGAGCTGATGCCAATATCTGATACTTGTCTGCTGATGCTGATACATAAACATTTCAAAAATGTGGAAACTGGAAATCAGTTTGTAATTTCAGTCAAATCTACAGTCACTGAAAATTTTTGGGCAATAATTGAATGCATTATTTGTGACTATTTTCAGCGGAATAATTTCAACATCCAAAAGATTAAATAGGCCTACTTAGGGTTAGGCAATATGGTAAAAATATCATAGCACAATACTTAAAAGCGTTTTCCGAGACACGATATGTGTCATGATATTTTGACACATAGACACAGTTAATTTAAAAACAGCCATGAAAAACACTGGGTGTAATGATTTTTATTCAACATTTCACATACTGTACTGCACTAAACAAGATTAAACAGTGCTTATTATGTTCTTTGCAATGAATTCAGTTGGTCAGTTCATGAAGTTGTGATATCCATAATATGCTCAAAAAAACAATGACAAAATTATGATAAAATATCATATTGTCTACCTTTGGCCTACAATGAAGTATCAAAATTAATTTGTAAAGTCATATATTTTAATTGTAATGATCAAAATATTGTTCCTTTCACTCATCTGTGCTGGTCAGCACAGATGTATTCAAACAGTTTCAGCAGCAGCGGATCAGTAGTGAAAACGTGTTAGAATGACGATGGCATCTGCAGCCACAGTTTCTGTAATGGAAGATTTCACAAACACCAGTGCAAAGTAGAACTAAAGATCAATACTATAAATTGCTTCAGATGGCCAACTGTTCTGTTTTGTCAAGAATGCTGGATTTGCACATACTGTAGCCCACATACTGTAAAGTGTATTTTATGTAGTTTATTTTTATTTGTTATTATTTTTTTTGGTTTTGGTTTTTGGCCCAACATGTCCTTAGTTTCAGTTTTGGTCAAGAATTTTCATTTTGGTGCGTCACTAATGTAAATATCTGTCTAATGCCGATCCTCTTTTTTTAAAGCATCTTGCTTTTTGTGCCACCAGTGCAACATATACATGCCTATTAGACGGCTAGAGGCACTGCCTTTATTTGAAACATGAATTTTCTCACTGTCACTTTTCAGTTGTGTTATGTAACAGTGCTTTGTAGTCTGTTTTGTTTGGTTTGAAGAAGAGGTTTTACCTGAACAGTTATCTTTCCCAGCCTGTTGTTAAAAGAAAAAAGATGGCACCAATCAAATAACAGGTATCAGTATCAGTGTATCAATGATATTGTGATAAATTTGATCATAGTATGTCACTTGTTTTTCTGAGCATATTGTGGATATTGTCAGAACTTCTAGAACACTGACCGACTGCATGCTTCATTGTAAAGAGAACATAATTAGTCCTGTTTAATTGGATTTAGCGCAGTGTTGTATGTAAAATGTTTAATAAAAATCACTGTATTCATAGTTTTTGATAGTATTTTTTGAAATGTGGCACTCCTGGTTCTTTTTTTAGCCTGTTACAACATTTCAGATGTCAGAAAAAGTAAATGATGTGACATGTATCAAGAAAATTACTTGAAGTGTTTGGTATTATATTTTTTGCCATATCACCCCACCTAGTATGAGGCCAATATCAGCAGGAAAAAAAAATAATCCAGTCCTGTAATAAATTTAGCCTGAAATAGCTCACATTGTGTGATGAGATTGCTTGCAATGTTGTTTGCTATGTACTTCTTCCTGTGGGGTAGTAAAATGCTTGAGTAGTCAGAGCGTGATAGCCTACTTTTAGATGCTCATATAAAGTGAAATATGTCTAATTAAAATAGGTCATTTTAAAGCTTAGTAGAAAGATCTTACAGAATAAACATTGGATTGATCAAGGCATCGGAAAAGAAAAAGTAGTATTGTGCCATCTCTAATGTGCAATGGTTTTCCTTTATATAAAGCTGATTAGTACTGAATTAGTTCAGTAACTGTTGCAAACTGGCTAAGAAAACATTTGTTGTATTAAAAGCATTAGATATCCCCAAATGTTTGATAGCCTGTGTAGATGAAGAGAATGAGAGCCAGATTTATTTGTAAACATTGCTGGCTGCACAGTACCTCTCTATAGCAGCAGCAGGTGTTATTAGAGCGTTCATGAACACCTGATCAGGTCTTTTGCTTCAAAGTGAATCGAGGTTGCTCTCTTAGTCCCTTCTCAGAATCTGTGGCTGCATGCAGCGAGTGAAAACGCTCGCAGCTACCCTGTGCTTTCTCATGCTTCTCTCAGTAAGCCCGACCAAGTTGCAGTGTCAAGCTACACCATTCCACCCTCAGTAAGCCGCAGTCACTGACCCCATGCCTTTTGCCTGAGTTACAGAAGCCTTGTCGATGTGCTTGCAGGTCAATGTGCACGACTGCCAGGTACGAGCGCTATGAAGCTAACCACGTCCTGTTCTAGTAAGTAAACCAGGAAACTGCACTCTTCTCTCAGCCTCTCTTTTGCACATCGTCGTCTCTCTCGCTTAAAGCGCTTACTGCAGCAGTCTGACCTCCATTATTGGATTTGTCATAACAAACTCTATCACTATTGCCAAAAGATTAATCACATGCGCAGTGAAATTGATGAATGTCCAAGAATAGTAATGTGCTACAATGTATGAGTTTTCCAGCGAGTGCAGGAGATTAATACTCTTCAGGGCCTGCTGCACTCTGTTCATTATTCAAAATGATTAATAACAAAAGTACCACACTGTAGGTTTATTGGTCCTGTTGAACTGGAATTGCTAGAGGTATTTGATCTAAGCCATCCTGGTTGATACCTAGGAGACTACACTGTGCCAGGACAAATTAGACTCAAAAGAGGTCTCTGCTCTGCAAATATCAGAAGTATTTAAAGTAACATCTGAAAACGATTGGGATTCTTTAGAAAACAACAATCACAGTTAATTACATGCACCTCAGGCGCCCATAAACCCAGTAATATATATTTAGTTAAAGCAAGAAGTGCCCTCCCTATTAGTAGCCATTTTATTGCTTTTTCTCTCAGCCAAGGCGTGCACCAATTTCTAATTAGAGCTGCTCATGCTTTTAGAGAGTGCTTATTCAGAGGAACAAACTGAAAGGGTTCCACTCTTTCACAGCAAGTGATGAGGGTCCTCCATATATCTGTGTAGCCTGAAGCTCAGAAGAAGAAATCCATTTAAAAAAGAGGGCACTTCATGGCTGTGAGAGCGGCGTGTTTTTCAAATGCCAATTACAGATTTGGCCAACTAGCCATTTAGTATCACTCAAGTTAACAGCCTGTCATGCGTCTCTCTTGCAGCCCGGATAACATTTCCACATGCTGGTACATACTGCTCTCGGGATCCGTCTTCGTGAAGGAGCACATGTATTTGGCTCGATGTTGGTATGTACCACTTAAAATCTCCTTGAGTTTTGGGTAGGACTGGGGGACATGGGCAAAACACCTCATCAGGATTATGTTGCTACATAATGCGATATGCTTGGCAGTATATGAAACGTATGGGGGGCCCTTGATGGAATATTTAACAATTGGCCTACGTTACTTTGATCAAATTATTAAAGTGTCTTGAATTATTAGTTTTTCAGGAAATATTTCTGAGGAGATTAGATATAAGATCCTATGGTAAGATATATGATTTGATGTAAGATAATCATTTTGCATAAGGAAGGGGAAAGTCAGAGGAAAATAAGCGGAACAAAAACAGGTTCAAAAAAAGATTAAAGGATAAGAGAAAATGAGACTCCTAACAACGATGCAACAACTGACAGACCACCAAAACTGTAGAACCCTATATTTCATTGAAAATAGTACAAAGACAACGTATCAAATGTTGAAAGTGAGAAATTTTATTGTTTTTTGAAAAATATTTGCCCATTTTGAATTTGATGCCAATAATATGTTCAAAAAAAGTTGGGATGGGGGCGACAAAAGGCTGGTAAAGTTGTGTAAAAACCTGGTGGTTGATTGACAACAGGTCATTGTTACATGATAGTGTTTAAAAAAAGCATCTCAGAGAAGCTGAGTCTTTCAGAAGTAAAGATGGGGAGGGTTTCACCACACTGTGAAAGACTGCACGAGCAAATAGTGCAACAATGCAAGAAAAACGTTCTTAAAATAGCAAAAAACTTTTGCTGATGTAGGATTATAGCTGCTCAACAGTCCTGGGTCTTCTTTGCCAGATTTTTTGTTTCATGATGCACCAAATGTTTTCTATTGGTGAAAGGTCTGGACTGCAGACAGGCCAGTTCAGCACCTGGACTCTTCTTCTGCGAAGCCATGCTGTTGTGATGGATGCACTATGTGGCTTGGCATTGTCTTGCTGAAATATCCCTTCCCTGAAAGAGACGCTGTCTGGATGGGAGCATATGTTCTAAAACCTCTATATACTGTTCAGCATTGATAGTGCCCTTCCAGATGTGTAAGCTGCCCACGCCATAGGCACTGATGCATCCCCATACTATCAGAGACACAGGTTTTTGAACTGTGTGCTGATAACAAGCTGGATGGTCCCTCTCCTCTTGAGTCCTCAGGACACGGCGTCCGTGGTCTCCAAAAAGAATTTTAAATTTTGACTCATCTGACCACAGAATAGTTTTCCATTTTGCCTCAGTCCATTTTAAATAAGCTTTGGCCCAGAGAAGATGGCAGTGTTTCTGGATCGTGCTGACATATGGCTTCTTCTTTGCATGATACAGCTTTAACTTGCATTTGTGGATTGCATGGCAAACTGTGTTCACAGACAATGATTTCTGGAAGTGTTCCTGAGCCCTTGCAGCGATTTCCAGTACAGAATCATGCCTGTTTTCAGTGCAGTGCCGCCTGAAGGCCCGAAGATCATCCAGTATCTAGTATTGACCATCGGTCTTGAACCCTTGCGTACAGGGATTTCTCCAGATTCTCTGAATCTTTTGATGATATTATGTACTGTAGATGGTGGGATGTCCAAAGTCTTTGCAATTTTACATTGAGGAGCATTTTTTCCCAAAATTGTTCCACAATTTTTAGATGCAGTTTTTTGCAGATTGGTGAACCTCTGTCCATTTTTGCTTCTGAGAGACTCTGCCTCTCTAAAATGCTCTTTTCATACCCAGTCATGTGTGTTAGTTGCAAATTGCTCCTCCAGCTGTTTTTTTATTAGTACCACTTACTTTTCCAGCCTGTTGTTGCCCCTGTCCCTGGTCTTTTTTGAGATGTGTTGCTGCCATCAAGTTCTAAATGAGTTAATATTTTTCATGAAATGGTAAAATGTCTCACTTTCAACATGTGATATGTGTTGTATGTTTTATTGTGAAAAAATATGGGTCTATGAGATTTGCTGTTTTTATTTACATTTATTTACATTTTACACAACGTCACAACTTTTTTTGGAATTGGAGTAGTAGGATTGCAGTAATGGTTAAGAAACGATGTACAGCCATTGTGTTGAGATTGAGGCTGGTGTTGTTATGCTTGGATCAAGGCTTGCACGCTGTCTTTCAATAGCAAGTCAGCTGCATGTGATTTGTATTTGGTTTGGGAAAGAGTAGCGAAGGCTTCTTTAGGTCACTGGGTTGAATGTGATCAGAATGCGGTTGTAAATGAAAGGGAAAGAGACAGAAACCCATGGGTGTGGAGTCTCTCCTGTTCTCTCAGAGAAGGTTTAGATTCCATTGTCACATGACTCCACATAACGCTTGCAGCCAATCATGATGGGCGTGTTGCTTTATTGACTGCAGATGTCTAGTGGGACTCACAGACAGTCCATTGGAGTTTCACTGGTTCCAGCAATTTCAGCGTTCATTAGTGCTTTTCAGCAGACGTGTTGTCTTCCCATCTCATCCCATCTCATATGAAAACCCCTCTCGTTAAAAGAAACCTCTTTATTTATGGCTGTTATGACAGAACAACTCAAGTTAAATAATGTATTTGATATGAAATTGAAATAGTATTATCTATAACAGTTACTGTGGAATGCTTTATTTGTGCAAATTTTAACCAGTGAGGTTTACTAACAGCAAGTATGCAGATGTCTATGGATATATTGTCACTGTCCTATTTTCTTTTTAATATTTTAAGACCATTTGAAATCCCAGCTGCCCTTTAAATGGTGTGAATATTGCATGAAGAACAGACCAATAGAAATGGTCTAAAATGACCAAAAACTACGCTTTAAGAGTTTCATTGCAAGGTCTTTTTACGATGCGCTTGTAGGATGTTCTAGTGAATCCCGTTCTCAGTGAATCCTGATGTTCTATAGACTATTGCAGCAAAATAGAAAAAGTCAAACTGAGTTCTGTTCCACTTTATGGCTGTTTCATGTTGAGGTAAACTATGAGAAAAAGAGAAGTAAGAAGTGGGGAAAACACTGTTGGTTTGTGTTTTGGGTGATGGTGGAGGGGGGGGTGGGTGGGCTGTTTTGGTGTTTAGGGGGGGAGGGTCAGTGGGCGGCCTGGAATGCGGAACTCTTGGCTTGAACGGTTACTTAGCCATGTGTTCTGTAAGCAGCTGGAGCCCATGAGCACATCCAGGCAGGAAATGAGCGCTCTCCCTCCACAGCCCTGCAGACCCACCGGATACACAGAAACTGACTCAGGACAGGAGAAAGACCGGGAAATTCAGGCAACAGAGACTGTTCCCTTTTTCTGAGGATGTTTTTTCCCCTTACTTTTATTGTTTTGAACTTTTGGTCTGTTTTCAGAGGCTTACGCTCCCTTTTACCTTTTTGGACTCGAGTTGAGTTAAGGGACTTTTTTTAAGGATTGCCTGCTCTTCTCTGAGAAGCTTCCCGTTCAGGATTTTGAACCACTGAGGTCATATCTTGCGAAGGCATGAACGTTTTGGATGTTTTTGAATTCCTCACAACTGGTCGGGTAACATAGTTCTCATGTCCGGATGAGAAAGAGCAGGACAAAAAACTGTGGCGTTTGTGAAGGAGTTTTGACTTAGCAGTACCGCTTCTACAAAGGACCTCATGCCTTGGCAAAAGGATTATGTTATAAGAACCCTGGGTTACCCTTTATTGAGTTTTACTCTTAGACTACACCTGTTGTCAGAGGTCAACGCATTGAGCCAAAGAGTGAGTAATCTATGCCTTTCTAGCAACCCTCATCTGTTCGCTATACTGTTTTGACTTCTGAAACCACAGCTGTCTTCCTGTGTTAAGATTTATTTGAGTCTTCTGACAGGTCTGTTTCCCAAGTCTGATGTGATTCTTAAATATTACTACAAATGCTTGGGTGATTCTTCTTTTAGGCTAGCGTTTGTGCTTTAGTGGTGTTGATTGAGTATAAAGGTCTTGTATACATGGAAAAAAGTCCAGCTACTATGAGATTGTTTGTTATGTTTCTTTGAAAGTGTGTGATGTTTCAGTTTCACAGACAAATTGTGAACGCATAGTGCGTCAGTGTGCCATGCAGTTTTTTCCGTCAGCATTTTATATCAGCATTTCATAAGAACCATTACCCATTCACTGTAGCAGCCCTTTACTTAGTATGCAAGTATCCTGTATCTTTTGCTGAAGTGCAGCCTTGACACAGAGTGTAGCTAGCTTAGCTGAACATACAATAACATGCTGAATGTGATTTGTGGTTTTTAACTTCAGTGTCAGCAGTCCGTGTGTTGCCATGGAGGTATGGCCATTTATACAAAGCAGCTCGGCCGAGCCTCTCAGACACTGAATTTACATTGTCTTCTGTGTGAGGAACTTTGGCTTAGCTGTTTCACTTCTCATGCTCCTGTCAATTTTACCCTGTTATGGCTTTGTTTAGCGTCATCTTCATTTTGCAGAGGAAGTCTTCTTTTAGGAAGGAAGTAGCACTTAAGTCCCTGACTGCCACAAAGTCCCTGAAATAACCGTGACCATGTTAGCTTCTGTGCATACTTTGTAATGCCGCTTGCATCTACTAGAGCATGTAAAGTGCTCTCAGTTTAAGTGCTAGAGTACAAGGACAAGGAGCCTCTATGTTTGAATAGACACATTTGTGAGTGTTCTACATTAGTAGTGCTGGATGGTATTGACAAAATTCAATATCCAATGATATTAATAAAGATAACAAACCCACACCTAAGGGAAACCTAAGGCATAGTATTATAAAACACTATCAGGTTACCAAGTGCAAGCAACAGATGAAGTGCTTGCAGGATTAACAGTCCATGCCACTGGATGAACTGATGCTGGATGTGTCTACCTGTGGGCTAGAGGTTCCGAAGCTGGTGTTGCCGTAGACAGAAGACAGGAGAGTGGGGAGTACATTATCTCCTTTTGGAAAGGCATGCAGAAAACGCTTGGCAGCACTTCGCCCCCTTCAGCTGACAGCCAGGGCCAACCTCAGTGAAGTGTGAAGCATTGTCAAACCCAGACTGACCTCTGGCTCACTCAGGCAACCTTCTGCAAAGTCCGCCAAACAGAATGAGGACAAGTCTGCGTGACACATTTGCTTGAATTCTGAAGGGGAAATTGATATTCCGTCGTATGCTAATACATCCCCTCTGTCCTGGAGAAAACAGCACTTCTCTCCACTGCCTGGAGAGTCATTAAAAGACGCTTCCTCTGGCATTCCAAGCACAGCAATTGTTGGGTTTTCTCAAGGGTGCGAGTTGAGGTCAGCAAGGAGAGCTTTTGTGCTACTGTCAGGCCGCTGGGGCAGTTTTTCAATGCAGTGGCATTTTGTCCTGGTTATGAATTGGCTACCTTTTTTGTGGCACCTGAAATCAACGCACATTAGGCCCCTTTCACACCTACCACTAACATGTGTCTTAGGTGATTTGATCATAAGTGGACAGGTGCGAACAGAGTCCAGTCCACCTTAGGCTGTTTTCGGATTGTAGGCAAAAGAGGCCCAAATTTGATTAACTGCCCAAAGCTGATTTTGGTATTTGGTCGTTCAACTCATCTTTTTAATGTGGGCTATATCTGACACCTTCCATCTGACACACTCATCCAACAAACGTAGCTGTCTCTTACCTTTCCTTTAGATTAAAAAAAAAAAACCCTTTCACGTGACGCCAACATGAGCTGTGTGAACTGCTTCTTTAAATTTGTAATGTTAACAGCAGACACTAAACCAGACTATGTTGAGCAAAGTTTGCAAGAAGAGTAAAAATGGTGATTTCTGTGCTTGCTTTAATCGTGGAAGCTGATCAAACGGAGAAAGAAAGCTCAGTTATCTCAGTTATCCTGTCTTATGTTTATCTACAGTAAGTGAGAATCCTATCAAAGGGATACAAACTCTGTGCCAAAACAGGAATATAACAATATGTACTGGATGAAGGCATTTAATGTGTATGAAGCTACTTAGACTTCTTTGCTTATCTCTTTTCTTTTTTTTAACTATAATTGCAACTATAAACATCTCCACGGTTTGGCGGTTTGTCATCAGTGTGTTAGCATTAGCTGTTAGCTGAGCTAGCATGAAACAGCTCTGCTCACAACATCATGTTAGATTCTGGCAAACTAAAGAACTGACACAAGTTTAGATGGTAAAGACTCAATTCTGAGGGAGTGAAGTCACGCAGCTGGCTCTGAAGGGAAAGAAAGGTGGAATTAAACCTGTTTTTGGTGTTTGGATCCGCAGCTTAATCAGCTAACTTAATGTTAGCTTAGCGAGGCTTTAGACCCAAACAGAGCAATCACCACCATACAGGTTCCACTGAGGCTTGGTGGTGCTCTGCTGCCACAAGTTCAGATGATAAAAACTCTGAGTCTAAGAGAGCAAAAGTTGAGTAAGTGACAGAAAGCCGACATCAAACCTGTTCTGTGGTGTTTGGGATTGTAACGTTTTAGCTAGCAGGCCAAACTTGCCATGCAGCACAGGCTTGGTTCCAACTAACTGATGCTAAAACTGACACCGATTTAGAGGATATCTGAGAGTGCAAAGTTGAGTGACTGAGTAAAAACCATAATTGAACGTGTTCTGTGGTGCTGAAACGTCCAAACATTCAAAGCCATTGATTCTAATGAAGGTGCATACACTGACACCGGTGCTTGACAACTCACTGTTCAGTTTCTCAGCGCCTCACAGTGTGCCACTCAGCATTTTAACATTTGCTATGCTAAATTAAAGCCACATCGAGACCACAGAAGGGTAGATGTGGCTTAGAATTTACGCAGAGAAAGGCAGTCAGTCTTTTAGGTAAACAGATCTCAGCTAGCTTTACAGCTTCGTCTTTTTCAGCTCACTAGTAAAGAAGTAAACTGATGCCAAGCGATTAATGATGTTGAATCAACTTTCACTAACAAAAAAAGGCAATACAAAACAAAAAAGATTGCAGTGATGACGGTAAAGAGCTTAAACCTGCGGTAGGCGTCAAATGACCGCGGTATTGCAGTAATGCGGTTATTGTCTTAGCCCTACTTAGATCCTTCTTGCCCCCTCTCTCTTATCTCCAGGTTCTTCTCTGTTGCTATAGAGCAAAAAGTTTTCCCCAACCTCATCCTCTTCTCATTATTATGCTCACTCTCACAGAGCAGTTCTTCCAAGAGTGCTGAGCCCTTGCTTTTATGTTATTATTTGGATACTTTTGACAGATCGCTGAACAGCTTTCAGAATTACTGTGTGAAGAGTAAAATGAAATGAAAGTGAAGGTGCAGTTAACTACATGTATAAGTGAGTGAATCCCTAAAGCCACAGTGACTGGCCTGTATTTAATATCTGTTGCTAGATAAGCTGGTTACACGGAGAGCAGATTTTTGTTTTGTTTTATAATAGAACTCTTAATACATTTCACTAAAGCATCGTCAGGAGCTACTTTTGAAGCCCAGGAACTATGCTGTAGGTTCAGGGATTGGATAACATGACAAGTTCTCTCAAAAACTTTACCTGGGAGGCTGGGAAACAGTCAGCATTTTCTCTAAAGCTATTCCTATGAAGCCTACAGAAACAAATAAATATATATTTTCATATAGGCACACAAGAACAAGTACATATTTTTGTTTAATTTTATGCTGTAGGTTCAGGGATTGGACGATATGACAAGTTCTCTCAAAAACTTTACCTCCCGCTCAGTGCTCATGGCCTGCTAACCTGATGCTAGATTTATTTACATATCTTGTATCAATACATTTACTTAGTTTCATTTACTGTTTGTCATGATGACCCATTTGGCTTGGTACTTGCTCACTTTCCTTCACTTCCTTCAGCTTTGGCAGGCAGCGAGGGGGAAGACGAGGCTGTGAATGCATCACTTTGGAACCATCAGAAATGATTGTGGTGAGTAAACTCTTCAATCAGTTAACAAGAGAACGAACACTAAATATAACTGTAAATATGCAGCAAGTCAGGGGGAGGGTGCATTCATGAGACAAATATTTTGAACCTTAAAGATACATCAGTTCAGCAGGACTGGTTTTGAACAACATGGGTCCCGCAAAGCTGAAACATGGTGTTACGCATTCCAGCAAATGAAGCGCCTTAGAAGTGACAGTGAAGAATTCGGTAAACAGATGAGGAGTGACATTCTTCTCATGAAACACTATGGTGGAGGACAATCATGCACAAGAAATAGGCCGTTATTAGGAGTGCACAACATATACATATTTGTGCCAATATGTTTTTCCGATAAGAGGGAAAATTTAATAAACAGTCTGATGCTATAATTACAGCCAATTATTACAACTGATAAATTTGGCAAGACTCCTAACATTAAATTGCACTTTTCCTTTATAAGACGTTCTGGATTAGAATGTCTGGTGCAACTGGCTAAACATTTCAATGGGCCTCTCTCTCAGTCGTAGGGCCGCATAATTTTGACATAAAATGCGATATTTGATAAAGCTGTTGGATATTGCGATGACGATATGAGAAGCGATAAATTTTTATTAAAATGGAGTGCCTCTGACTGGATGTGACTCAAGTACAGGTGTTTTTTTGGATGTGTAAACAGAAATTGAACTAACCTCTCCGTTAAGCAAATAACAATACAAAAAAACAAAAGCACCATTCACAATTGTCCAAAATAAAAAGAAATGAAATACTAATAGCTACTTGCACCAGAACTGCAAGCACATTTTTTTGCACTGAAAGGCTGGGCAACAGTCAGCATTGTCTGTACAGCTATTCCTATGAAGGCTACAGAAACAAATAAATATCTATTTTCGTATAGGCACATAAGAACAAGTACATATTTTTGTTTAATTTTATTTTTGTTTTGGTTATTAAAAATATTTGTTGTCGCAATAGCCATTACTGTCTGACGCACTTAAACACAATACTGGGTGTGAAAGCAATCCTAATGTTTAATGCATTTTTACAGGCTTGTAGTTCAGGATGGAGTAGTTTTTGAGCTGCTCAGCACTGTGATAGGCAACATGGGCATCTGTTAGCTGACATAACAGACTTGGTAGTTACCATTCTCCTCCAAGTGTGTTGAGCTGTCTAGTGACATTGCGTCAGTAGTGGTGCTTAATGTGTGTTGGAGGAAGCATGTGCTAGCCAGCGTGATGGCATCATGAGATGGGGGGAGACCTGACTTGTGGGTGGAATGGCAATGACTAAACCGGGGGGAAGTTTGGACAAAAAAATAATATGTCTTAAACTTACTGTAGTTCATACATGGATTACAGTGTAAAATCAAAAAAATGATCAGTTATTGGTAACGGTATCAGCCACATCATGCAGCTCTGAAATATACCTGGGGAGAGCATCCAGGAGGTGGTGGTGTTCTAGTATATACGTACAGTGCTCAAAGGTAGTCTTGGGACACTTCTTTTATCATTTGTTTATTTTATTTTTTATTATTATTTTTTTTTAGAATTATCATATTTGTTAATGTATTTTGCTTCACCATATGCAATTTTCAACTATATTCTAACTTATAGCTTAAATGTAATACGATGGAATAAGCTTTTCTGGAAAGTTGTCTTTGGCTTCACCAAGTTGCACAAAATAAAAGTAATAAATAGAAGAAAATAGCAAGTAGAAAACACGACCTACAAGAGCACACCTAAGAACTCATACCAGCTTCAAATACACCAGTTATCAGAATAATTACAGTACAGCTAAAATTGCCTACATTTTCATCAGATCAATAAGTAACTTAAGAGATCCTTAGACAAATTCCAATGTAATAAACTAATTCTTCAAAACATTTATTGGCCTGAGGGACCCTATAACGCTTTCCGGAAGGGAGCAGAACAAATTTAACAGACAGAGAATGAGTAGGATCCCCAAACGTTTGCCAGGCTTTCTGACTACTACTAGGCAAGTATATCTCACATAACTGTTTTTGTGGTTTACGTATGATTTTTCCAGTCATATTCACAGTCCTAGACAGCTTGGTCTTGTCCTTAGCTCTAAGGATACCTAATTCAGTACATTTGAATTACAATTGTATTGGAAATGTTCAACACCTGCCACACTCTGGCAATCCAAAAGAGAAGATTCAACAAGCTACGCAAATTCATGCACTCTGTGCCTAGAAGACTTCAAGCTGTCATCCAAAAGAAGAGACAGGCAACAGAACACTAAGCTACATAAAATACTAAATACAAATCTACATGAAGAAAACAGACAGCAAAGGTTTTTCCACTAATGCTGGAGTAATTTTACTACCTTAAGTTTAAATTGAATTACCAGGATTATTTTGAGTTTCAGTTGGTATTGCTGGTTGTTATAATAATCTTCATGGATACAAAATGAATAAATGAAAACTTTAGCTTGGAACGTACTAAATAAACAAGACATACATTGTATTCAGAGAATGTCCCATGACACATTTTGAGCACTGTGTGTCCAAACTCGTGTCAGTATTCTGTTTACTTAATGGGGTATTCCAATAAGACGTGTGGTTTGGAACAAATGATATATTGTCTTGTTACGCAAAGTGTGGCCTTGTTTATTCACAACAATATAAAATATTTTGCAAATTGTTAAAATGGGACGAAATACACTTGGGTGGCTGCCAGTGTGCTTGGGGGTTCACCCAAGTTTAGCCTGTGTGTGGGGAAACGCTGCTGGGGTATTGATTATTGGTTATCATCATCACCCTAATTTCACATCATTGCAGCTTTAGTGATTGCGTTAGTTTTGTCTAGCAGTGGTCAGCCGCGTAGTGGCTATCACTGTGCGTGTGTGCAAGGCTCACAGAAAACGAAAGCCCAGTGTTTTGATAGACTCACTGATTAGCTTTCTTAGAATGCCTGGAACACAGCACAGCCGGGAAATTGGGTTATGTAAGCTTGTTGTTGACTGCTGTGATTTTCATCCCGGTCTCACCCTCCAGTCCACCAAACAAGCTACCGCTGATGTAAACATTGATGTAGTTCTGCACTGGGTGTTAATATGTTTGATGCCTCGAGGTCACAATATGACAGAGTATTTAGGCTCGTCTCAGTCAATCACTGGTAATTTTGGCTTTAATATAGCCAGGATATGATATGCACTCTTTTAAATTTGTGAAATATCTGTCTAATCCTATTTACTTTCTGAACAAATAGCTTCACTGCTTTCAAAAGTTTGGGGACGCTTAGCTTTTCAGGTGGTTTATTAAACAAGCAGGTTTTCTTTGTTGGTTTGAAACAACTAAGAATATTAAATAAAAAGCTGTTTGCAGCTTTGCCATTTTTCTTTGCAAAAACTGCAGAACTGTGGGAACGAAATCAGAAATAATGCCAGACCCCACACATTGTATCCCCTTATTATGTCAGCGCTCAAACCTTTCTGATGTTTAACCCTATCAGATGTCTCCCAGACTTTGGTTAAATCCCTTTTAACTCCTTCATTCAGTAATAATGGTTACCATTAATGCATGTCCACATCGGTCATAGCAGAATGGATCAGCATGTGGATTTACAGCATTTTCTGTGCTCCTGTGTTTTATAACACTAAAAGAAGCATGTTGCTGCCATTATTATTGGAAGGACTGTCAGTATTCTTCAGAATAAAATTTGGATTGGTAACTGCTTACGAAAAATATTCCTGTTTGTGTTTGTTAAAAAATGTAGTTTGACTACCTAAATCTTGTACGTTTTTGTCCATGTTAAACCACATTCTTGTTAGATTAAGTCCAAATAAATGCAGCAAAAGCATTGAGATTTTGAATATGGGTTTGTAAAGCAGTGCTACTAAAATAAATAGCGTTACTGAGTCAGGAGGAAAAAACACGTTAAAACATGGTGTGTGTGCACTGCTGTGAGTCACCCTGTTAAGCCTGACATAATAATTTAAAAGTCAGAGGTGTCAGGTCAGATTTTTCAGGAGTTTTTCGGACCACACCATATTTCTTTACATATTAATGTCACACACACATCCTCAAAATGAAGGTCCGACGTTTAGGTCTTAAATGCAAAGTTAACATTAGGAAATGGTCACAATTGTAGATAATTCATTTACTACCTCGGGATCCTTCACCAAGCTTTGACTTTGAGTTCTCTTTTGATACTTTTTCAGCATGCTCACAAACGCTAGATTCATCCCCCTGTGGGGATCCGAAGCTCAACCAGTGTTAAAAGTTCTTTCGCACATTGCATGCAATTACACATTGTTAATAGCAAGCTCCGCTAGTCAGCTAAGTTAATTTAACTCTGAAATTAGAGTCAGTTTCAGAATTTCTGGAATCAAAAAGCCCCACAGCCAAAAGAAAATCCCAGTAGTAGAGGCCAGTATAGCGTGCAGAAGATATCAGACACTCACTCCACGTGTGGGTAGAGCTTCTGAGGCAGAGACTACATAAACATATCTTGGCTCAAGGAGATTTGGAACAAGGGGACAACTGTAAATTAGATTGTTGGCTGAATCATTCATTTAAGGCCACTGCTTAAGGAGCTCGAGTAGGGTTTATGATATATGTGCCATTTCCTGTTTTATGGTACATTATACGATACTCGCTCTTAAAGACCACCCAGACATGACTCCTCTCCTAAGCATGCACCTGCTTCTTCTAGCTCTTATAAAAAAGAAAGAAACATCTACTGTTCACATCTGCTGTGCTCTATTACCCAACAGTTCCTCTAGAGGAAATTAGCAGAGCAGAATCTTCAGATCTACTGATCTTGCTGACCCTATGCTGCATGTGGTAACCTAGCTGCTGTATCTCACATAAACAAGCAGGTCACCACTCCTGACTGACTCTGTAGTTTTGCACGGTCTCACTTTGTGCGTGTGATCACACATAAGCATGCACTGACTGTTAAAAGTTTGAAGACATTTTCTTTTTAATACATTGTTTATGCGAATAAGCTTTTTTTAGTTTTCATAAACATATTGAAGACTAACCAGGTTTAATCTGAATAAAATAATGTCATGTGTAAATATTTGTGACTGTCCTTACTGTACATTGAATAAGCCAAAGCCCACCCATTTCTCCCCTTGTTCTGATGTCAGCATGATCAGCATGCAAATCTTCCCCCTGTTGAAACCACCTTTTGGCCAAAGGTAAGTTGTTATGTGCTTTTAATAGTAGTTTGGGGAAGAAAACCGTCATTAGTCATTATTTCAGCAAAGCCTATTCTTCATAAGTAAGGAAGACACTTTGTTGATCATGAACCTGAGTTGCAAAATATAACCACAGTATTAGCAAATAGCTTATTTATTCTAACAACTTTTGCAAACGTTTTTTTGGTTACTACATTAGAAAGCAACAATGGTTACATTTTCTGCTGACATTCTGCAAAAATTGCTAATAATAAAATGAAAATGTGAGAAAAAATGTTGCTGCACAGTGCTAGGAATGCACTGATACTACATTTTCCCTTCTTACACCAATACCTTATCTTTAAGTATCAGCTGATACCAATACTAATTCCATCTACCCTAACTAGCTAATAAGTCCTGATATTTATACAGTTCCACTTTTTTAATATATAAACCATTTTAGATGCGTAAGAAAACCTATTTTTGCTCATTTACTGTTATATAATTACTGATAAAAAGCATATTTAACACCTGAAGTAAAATGTTTGCAAAATCTTTAAAAACACAACTGAACAATAAATAGATAGACCTGCAGTGCATACACCAGCTTCTCTGGCTCGGCAAAATGGTGCTAAATGGTGTGTCACACCACAATTTCTCAAGTCATTTCTCTCATACGTGTGTCCCGTATACTCACATCTGCATCTCTGACTCTGCTGGAGTTCAGCAAATATTACAGTCATTCACACTATCAGTAGCAGCTGTTTTCACTGGATTTTTTTGGCTTGATGGGAGCAGCAGGAGGCACACCGTCGGTCAGAAGCATCACACAGGCGTGGCTATTAAACACACTAGCCCGACTAGCTGGCTGCTATGCTTAAGGCTAAACCAAGACTAAAGGTTATCATTACCCCAAGAGACCGGCGTTTCCTTCTATGTGTCTCACTAAATAACAACCTGGACTAACTGTAACTTAGACTGTAACTGACTGGTGCAATTTGTAATTGCAAGTTTGTCTTTCCTGACTACCCAGTAATCTATTGAAAAGTGAAAACGTGTTTTCTTATAAGGGTCCATACAGTCCATATGTGGAGATTTTCTTCCTAAACTGCTATATATCCATTTATAACAACTTTTGATATGAAAAGAATAACCAGTATAAAAGAAAACACAGTTCATTTCTCTAATAAAAGTGCTGTTATCCACAGTACAGAAATGATGATAATTAAATCATGTTTAAAGCTCAATCTCAACTACATATATTATGAAAGACAGATCAGATCAATCTTAAAGGCACAGTAATGAAAACAGTCTGTTTAATTATAAGGGATAAAGAGAGTGTTAAAAACGGTCATGTGAAAATTAATATTGACTGTTTTAGGTGCATAAAATCACACAAACGTTGTAAAGTTGAGCTCAGGGAAAAGTGTAAGATATGGGCCCTTTTTTGTTGTATTTTTTCCAGAACCGTTATGGGTGAGATCACTTTTCTCTGCCATTAAGCACGGTTTGAGCACTTTCCATTTACTGGACAGGATGTTCCACAGCCTATTGTAACCTTTCTTGGCTATCTCTCTGTGTAAGTATTACAAAGTGGCAGCATTCCTTTCCTTTGAGAGATGCTCTCATGTCCTCCTCAGCCCAACTACACCTCTCTGCCAGACTGTTTTTTTTTTTCTTGTTTGTTGTAAGAGTCATAAAAGGGCAATCTTCTAACTAAATTTATTCATCAATACATTATTTTTCCTGGCAGATGTTTCCAATGTAGTTGGCATGTAGTTTCCAATGTAGAAAATGGCAACCTAACTACTGACAAAACAGAAAAGCAAGGTGTCTCCAGACCTTTGACAACCAGTGTACATGCATGCCTCTCTCTCTTTCTCTGTCTCTGTCTCTCCCTTCATCTGCACCTAACGGAGTAAGCTGAGGTGCTTGTAAACTCCATTGATAGATGGTCAGATGAGGACTGCTCCCGTCATTTTTTTTTCCCATCCCATTCCTCCTCCTGATTCTATGTCCTCCCCTGATGGATGGGTACATCGCTCGGATATGACAGCTTCTCAAAAAGAAGCTGCTTCCTGTCCTTTTCTTTTTTTTGCTTTAAATTTCACTCTGAAGGAGTTTATATGCCTCTGTTGCAAAGCACCAAACCTCTATGTTCTCCACAAACCCAAAGCATAACCTTTAGTATGAGAAGAAAGCTGCTCAAGGAAAAATTCTGTACAGTGCGGTCCGGGCATGTACCATAGCCATTATTTACAAGTTACTTCAGGCACCAACTGCAGTCAAGATTGTCAATAGTATCAGTGTTCGCCCTGCATATGTTATTGTTCAGCTGTGATTTGTTAAAGAAGGCAGTGGAAAAAGTTGGTTTGAGCTGGCAGAGATTTGAAAGTGTTGCTGTAAGAGTGGGTGGGGGCAGGCGAGGCCCAGATGTGCTCTCTTCACTTTGCTTCATTTCTTATTCGCCTCCTACTTGCTGCTTTGCCGTCACTGTGGCCATCTTCACCACCTCGTACTTTACGGGCAAAATAGAAAAAAAAAGAAAAAACGTTTGATTTAATTTGAATTGACGTACATTCTGCAAAGATCATCTTACTCATGAACCACGCTGTAGACAGTGTAAAAATTAAAGGGGAGTTTGTTTTTGTGGCCCCAGATTTACACTGTACATCTGAGAAACAGTTTTGCTGCCATAAATGTAAGGTGTGGGCAATATAAGCTGATAATGATTCATCACAATATTCAAAGCAAATAATTAATTGATTGATAATGAGAATAGAAACAATACAACAATAAGAACAGAATAATAATGGCTATTCTTATTGTTATTATTTTTATTGTTATATACATTTTTATAAGCACCTTAAAGTTAATAATTTATACAGAATTCCTTCTTAACTGAGGCAGTTGATACCTTCTTCAGTTCTCTTTTGCACAACCTCTTCTCTAGTTTATTTTTACCTCCTCACTCATACTCACTTCTATTTTGCACTTTGCCTTTCTAGTTTCTAAAACAGTATTTCACTTTTTGCTATATCTCACCATTATATGTTTGCTAAGTTCACCACTCTGCCCTGCCTGCTGGGTGAGTTTTATGAGTTGATTTGTCCTTGGTGAAGTCATATTTGTTTTGTCCGATAAAAAACAAAAAGAAAAGAGTCAAAGTAATATTGTGCACCATTGCAAAGTGCTTTGCTTTCTTGCACATAGACTTGCTTTGTGTGCATGTCCGATTCTGTGCAGTGGGTATAAAAGGCTACACTTATTAATGTAAGAGAGTTCTGCAAATTCATAGTCCATTTTTATTGTAAGTTTGAATTTCCTTACATGCTTATTTTACTTGTGAACTGTGCTGTAGACAGATTTTCACACCACCAAATTTATAAAATACATCACTTTTTTTTTAAACATACCAAATCGTTCTGTATTGGGCACTCATTATGTTGTATAAAAGAAACAAACACGCCAGCAATAACACAGCAGTACAAAGGGTTTCTTGTAGTTTCCATTGTAAAGCTTAAATCTGTATTTATCTAAGCTCCCTCTTTGAGAGGATATTTGTGTATGTTCAGCTTCCTGCAGGAAACTGTGGCCTCAGTGCAAGGTCTGCTGCTTGACTCTCAAAAAGGAAAATGACTGTTTCTCTGCTAGCAGAAGCAGCAGCGGCGCTAACCTCAGAGACTTTGTGAAACGTTTGTGTTTTGTTTGTGCTTTTTTTCTTTCTCCGGTTTGTATCAATGTCCTCCCCATGAGTTTGCTGCGCTTGCACAGGCTTTCGGTAATATGGAAAACCTGGATGTTCAACCAAGAGTCACAGAACCTGGCTGATTCTGGCACCTTGCAGGTGGAGAACGCGAGCGATGGCGAGGACGCGGCTCTGCAGAGAGATGGTTCTCAGCGGCACTCGCGCCGACGCTTTCACAAAGTCAACCCACAAGGGGAGCGGGAGCTGATTACGGACGGACAGGACCCGGCCAGCTCACCTACTGTAAGTTACAAACGCTCAATTACAGTTACTTTCTTCATGGACAGATTCTACAAGTACAGTTTTGTTATATAAGTACCTTTTGATGCAAAATCGAGTGAAGATAAGGTTACAGTTCTCATCTCAGAGCGAAGGTCAGATATCAGGTGTGTTGGAGATGTTTTTATGGTACTGGCACAGCTTGTTGAGAGTTGTGAGAAATTGAATTGCTTCACTTACATAAATAGTTTTTCTCACTCTTATAGTACTTTCCTTTATTGACAAAGTACCATTTTTGTAAAATAGTTCTGAATATCCTGTTTTATTTGCTACATTTAATTTATAGAGCCACAAAACAATGTTGTGAGATGTTCATTCACTAGTTCACCTCACTCTCCCACTTCTTGATTACTGTTTATTTATAGACTGGGCAGCTCAGATAGTGAATACTGTTCAACTTTTCATTTTCGTTTTTTTTCCTCTTGTTACAATATGACTTGACAATCACACGCACTTGTACACTGTCTAGAGTTATGAGTAGTAGGTTTCAGTTGCTGGGGAAAGTTTCCCGCCTGCTGATAGCATCCATTTTGAGCGTTTCAGTTAGAGTTCTTAGTAATCGGTGTTGCCCATGCTTCATTGTAGGAGCCTGACAGTTGTTTTGCTCCGCCTCCTTTCTCCACTCGCAGCTCAGCACTGAAATTATGTCAATACATAACCAGCCCGACTTTATGTGTAAGAGGGGTTAATCACAAAATATTATACAGACTGTACTCGTAAGCAAACAGCATACAGTATTGTGCAAAAGTCAGAGATTTCCAGTCAAAATGACCTTCATGTACAAGTTACTCATTTTTCAGGAAATATTTTTGAGGAAATGAGAAGATAATTCACTTGCATAAAGAAAAGTCAAAGCAAAAGAAGCGAAATTACAGCACAACAAATCATTAAAAGATGGTAGACCACCAAACCTCTCACTGTGAGATAAAGAGTGTTAAAGCACTATGGGTCTGAAAGGATGTATAGCTGTGAAGAAGCCTTTACTAAGAAGAAAATCAAACAAAGAAGCTGCTGGTGTTCTCAGAGCAACAGACTTGCCACCCCAGACATGAACATCATTGACTGTTTTACTCGGATCGTAAGAAGCAGAGCATGCAACCAATTTTGTAGATATCTTTGCAGATTTCTTTGAAAAACAGAAAGCAAGTCTCCTGAAAAGAATGCAAGCTGTAATAAAAGCAAAGGGTGGACACACTAAATACTGAAGATACTGATAATATACTTAGTTGTTGTGGCTTCTGTATAATTTTCTGTTAAATATAGTTTTTCTGTTTTTTTCCTGTTGCTGAAAAATTAAAAACTTGGCTGTTTTGATTACGTACTAAATAAATGAAGGATAGTCTCTGACGTTTGCATGCTACTGTATTTAAGCTGACAAATTTGTGTGTCTTTCTCTCTTACATTCTCTTTCTCCATTCCACAATGGCCCTTTGCTGCTGTCCTCGTTACCTCCAGCATTATGCAGTCAACCAGATAAAAACAAACTCTACCTTTGAATACCTGGTTCAGTTGTGTTCAAAGCTAGACTAGAACATAAATATGTTTTGACTGAGTTGGAATAGCCCACGCCTGTATGTTTTGGTGTTTTCTTTGGAGAAACCCCTTCACATCGGTACTCACATACACCATGACATTTTGAAGGTGATATTGGCACAGCACCGGTTTTCTTTCAGTTGAACTGCAGTGCAGTCTTAAAGCATGTTTTACGAGAGCATACAGATTTCATTTCAGTTAGTGAACTGAAATATGTTTCAACACATACTTAGCACCCTAAATACGATAGAAATTGAAAGATAGTCACATGTGAAAACTCTGTTTATAGTATGACCTTTATCCTTTTACTGACCCTGTTTCTGATCAAGGCTTGCCATTTGTGACCTAAAGGGATTTTACACAACACTGGGTTAATTTTGGGGAAATTCCACTTAGCAACACGTGTAGAAACTAAGTGTGATATAAGCACTTAAAGGTGTTAATACCACTGTCACTGGGAGAGATTAATTTCAGCTGATGAGATGACTTGAAATGAGAAAGATCGTACTTGCAAAGCAGTTGACAGAAGGTTTTGCTTCATGAAGATGAAAATTATACTTTTTAAATATTGCCTACGCTCAGTAAACATCACACTTGTTTCACACTTGTTTATTTTGAGTTTCCTCGTAATTCAGTATAGGTACATAGTTAGGAAAGGGCTATGAGTGTGTATCCTTTAAAAAAAATCACAGTTCTACTGTAGCACAGACGCCTTGATCAAGGCCTACTGACGTGGTTTCAGCTTTCTTCTGAGGTCATGTGCAGATAAAGAGGTACAATCCCTCAGCAGATTCTCGTAGACATACACAGAAGTCTCTTTCCCCTGTCACTTTATGTTGTATATCAGCGGTGTTTATAGCAGGCTATGCTAATTTCAAGACCGCATCTTATGAAAAATAAGATTTGCATATTGTGCTTTTCGTGGATGTAGAGTTGGTTCAGCAGAAGTTGTTTGCAGCAACTTGTATCCTCTGGACTTGTTGACTTCACTTTTGTTGTGCAATGGTTTGATGGAATAGATGATGAAATGGACGACGTTTACTTGAAAGGCTGCAGAAGACCGTTGTTTTCTGCGTGAAAGCACGACAGAAATGACCTAGGCCGGAATACGGTTTGTGGTGTTCTGTTTCCTGTCAGTCTGCAAGACGTCTGGGCTGTCGCTCTTTCTCCCCACGAGACATTTCCGGCTCTAGATGCGTGAACGCTGTTTGATAGATATTTCGGAGTCAGTGTCAAATGAAGAAGGAGCCTATGGGCAATCTTTAGCCATCTTTAGCCATGTTCCACTGGGTCCTTTTAGACGACTCTAATCTGTTCACACTGTAGTGATATTTAAGCACTTTTGGGCAGGGTAATTAAGACTTGTAGACCTTGTGTTGGAAGAGGGAATGAAAATGTGGAGTGCCTTTTCTCATCCACAAAGGGTTTATCATACAGGTAGACAATGTTACAGGGGTTTCTGGTACTGAGCCATACTAAATTGTGCCTACTCAACTTGAGTTGATATATTTGGCATGTGACTCACCTTTGGTTCATCTACACATAAATTGCATCTCGCTCATCTCGAGAATGTCATGAAATCATTCTGACTCATCATAAGTTTCATTATGTTTCCATGAGATCATTAAGTGACCCTCACAAGGTTATTCCCTGTGGTCACCTGAGTGTTCTCTGGACTTTTTGAAAGCATTACCAAAGATGCTGTTACAAGTTGTCCCATTGTTGTGAAGTAATTCTTAGGTTGTGGCCCCACCAGTGAGTGTGTGGCCACACCAATGAGTCAAAGATCAGTAAAAATTGTTAAGTCACCCTTTTTCCAATAATGTCTTTGTTCTACAAATGAAAACAAACTTTGTTTCCTCCACCTATTTATGAACAATTCAGCTGACAGCACAATGATTGCAAAAAATACCAGCTGAACACAGTTGAAATATATTTCATTTACATAATTTCTGTAGCATGTTTTTGATTTATCTGTGCATAAAAACTTCCAAAAAATGAACTGGTTGGAATAACCTTTTTCTGATGTATCTGGTCATACACAATTCACAATGTGGTCATCTGTGTGAGCTTGCTTGTTTAGTTTTGCCCTGGAGCTACAAGGCTGAGAAATAATATAAAAATGGATAAAATTACATAGCTCACAAAAATATAGAACATCCCGCAAGAATATAACATCATGATACTTCAGTACATTTTCATGATGCACACTATGCGTCATAATAAGTTCAATAAATTGGAGCAGACAGAAACAAGTAGTAGCTCATTAAAAAAAAAAAAATGAATACAGTGATTTATGTTCAATGTTTCACATACTGCACTGCATTAAATCCAATTACATTGGGCTAATGAAAGGAATGGTTCAGTGAAATAAATCAACCCAGCAGAATCAGACTCCCCTTCATGTGCATGCATGTCACGCAGGCATACAGACACTAGATTACATTCACAGTTTCTGTTTTTAAACATTCATCTTCAGTTTGGAAGATCAAGATTTATGTTATTTTTTAAAAGAAACGGAAATTACAAACGCAATCCATGCATGCAAAGAGGAAATTTGGCACGACGTTGAAGTTTTGTTAGTTTTTGTAATTCACAGTAATTCATACTGTGCCCTAAACCATATCCACCAGTCTGTGTGACCTTAACAAGATCTGGATGTGGTTTGAGAGCCTTGAGAGAAGTTTTAGGCAAGTATTAATGAAAACAAATCGATCGTCTGTTGACTTCTAGTGTTTACTAACTACGTTAGCCTTGTTGCTGCAGCATTAAATTGAAGAAGCAACATTTAGACGTCAAACATGGGGAAGTGAAAAATTGTGTTTTCACCATTCCTGTCACCTGTCTTTGTAAGAAATCATTCAGTTGGTCAGTGTTCTTTAAGTACTCATAATATCTAAGATATGCTCAGAAAAGCATTGTGGTGTAATGTGGTCTAATTTATCATGATGACAGTAGTGTCGTATTACACACCCCTAGTAGCAGGCATATTTAAATCTGAGTTATCCCTGAGTCATTTTTGTCCGTTTGTATAGATAATAGTATGTCAGTCATTGTGAGAAACCTCATAAGAGCTTCATGAGAGCAACGTTTCGAAGTAATATTTGTGATGACTTAGGCACACAGTTTGTCTGATGCTAATTGGTATGGTATATTCTTCCATTACTTGTTAGCTACGTTAGCCTCATAACTCCATTGCAAAAATAAAACTGTGTAAATTTTTTTGCAGAACTATTCCTTTAAATTCGAAGCTCTGTTCACTCTGTTGTTCTCATTCCCTCTGTGCTGTGTCTCCTGCTGCTGCTGGCGATGCTGCCCGTGCCTCTGGAAGGCTAATTTTAGGGGATTACATCATGGTAGCCGAGATGACAACCTTGCTGCTCCCTCCCTCCTCTGCCTCAAGGGATAGCTCACATTTTCATCCCACTTAG